TTAGGGTTTAGGGTTCTGGGTTTACGGTCGGAGGTTGCGAACGCATCTTGAAGCAGATCCTCAACGGCTGGGCCTAAATCAAAGGTCACCTGGGGAGCCTCTGGGAGAGCTGGTGCGTTGAAGGTCACTTCTTGTACTAGCTTACAGTTTGAAAACCCCCTTGGAAACGAGACTTCTACGGATGGTATCTCCTCCAGCTTCGAAGCTCGCTTGACGAACTCGTCCATCCTCTGGGCTCTCACCTGCCCAGCAGATCTGTTGTTCTTGCCAAACAGGCTCTTCAAGCTAGCAAGGTCTGCGGACATTAGGTTTAGGCTTAAGACGTCGGGTTTTGAGGCTTGCTCTCATCTCTCCCTTTGCCTCCTCTTCCTCCTCAAAGAGACGATTCGCTGCTTTGAGCTCGTCTACGGAAGGGACCTCCCCACGAATGGTGTGCCGCCACACTTTGAGCTTCTTGTCGCCGATGGAGGTCGACCACACAATCTTCGTCTCGATTCGGTCTACCGTAAGCAGGTTCGAGACATAAGGATCATGTGCCGGATGTTCTGCAGTCTTGAAGAAGTCGGACTGTGAAAAAACCTGTATGTTGGGATGGTGACCACATGTCCAGACTTCGTGACCCAAAGGCACAATTGCATAGGCCCCTTTGGCAAAGCCCTCCGGCGCGATCTGCCTCACGGGGGTGCAACTCACTGCTACGCTTACAAAGGTGAGCATTCGATTTTCTCTGGGCTCGGACTCGGAGGTACTTATGGCTTTTTATTTGTTTTGGACTCCCCCCACCTGACACATTGGCGCTCGGCTCCACCGATGGTCCACTCCCGGATAAAGCCGTCAATGCCGGAGGACCAGATGAAGGATCTCACGACAGACAGCTTGAGCACGGAGCCCGTGTGAGCTTTCTCTACAACCTCGTTGCAAGCACCAGTTGCTGTGCACCAAAGGCGGATGGTCCCGTCGTCGGAGCCCGACCAAAGGGTGGGGCCGATGCGAATCATGCATCGAACACCGTTCTTGTGCCCATGCATCTGCAGGCCCTTTGAGATTGCAACCTTGAACTTTCCGAGCTCCAGGACAAAGGCATCTTTCACCTGTGGACCCGGGTCCTTCGAGTGCCAGGTTTCGATGGTCCACTGCCGGATAGTGAAGTCGTTGCTACCACTCCAGGCCCTTCTTCGAGGGATGTGGCCCTCCTTCATTTCGGAGGAGTCGAGAGCATCACCTGAAGCAAGGCAGGTCACTCCCCCTGTGTGGCCGCCCATCAAGGATCCTTTGAACTCCTTGCGCTTGGTGTCGAACAAGGAAATTCCCATTGCTTCCTGGCCCATCCACATGAGGTGTGGCTCCATGTGGAGCATCGACCAAACAAACCTCTTGCTGATGCTGAGACATCTCTAACGGCAGAGTTTAGAATAGGATCTTACACAACAAGAGCGATGCAGCAAGGGCCAGGGCACAAACCTGCCAGCGAAACCAAGGAGCCGGTTGGTGGGAATTTCGCTTCGCACCTTAGTCGCATCATCTCTTTCACGAACCGTCACGTTTCCAGCCCAATCAACCGTCCAGACTTCCGTGCCGATGCAGATTGCATTTCGGACGGCCAAACCCATTTCCAAGGTCTGCACACAGCGAAAGCCTTCCTCGTCCGTGCTTTTCTTAACCGGCTTGCTAGGGGTGCTCTGGCTCTTGGTGCTTGAAGGCTCGGTAACGGTAGCACCAGACAGCGAAGGACGCTGCGAATCCACTTTGGACGGGGCCGGCGCCGGCTGAGCTTTCTTTGGCTCCTTCTTGGGCTTCGCCTTCGGCTTCTTCTTCGAAGCCTTGGTCTTCTTGGTACCGCCCGAAGGCTGTGGAGACGGGGCGGGTGCCTCACTCGCAGAAACAGGCATGGCGGCCGCCGCCGTGGCCACTTCGGCCGTGGCCACTTCGGCCGTGGTCGCTTCCGCTTCTGCCGTCGCTTCTGGCTCAGGCGAGCTGGGCCCGGCTGGAGCGGCTGGAGGCTGAGTCGTCTCAGGTAACTGCGATTCCTCTGGTATGCTGCCTGGGGGAAGCGTGGCCTCCAAGTCACTCTTCGATGGAGTTTCACCAGCACTCATCGCCGCTATCAGCTGGGTTGCCTCGTCTTCTTGCGCCTCGTCCGCGTCGTCCTCCTCACCTTCTTCATCGTCTTCCTCGTCGTCTTCTTCTTCCTCCAGGTCATCCTCGTTCTCCTCCTCATCCTCGTCATCGCTTGCGTCCTCCTCCTCTAACTCCTGGTTCTCTCCTTCGTCATCCTCGCCTTCTTCATCGTCTGCTGCGTCCTCCTCCGCGGGCTCCTGGCCCTGCGCATGACTCTCCGGGCCATCGAAATCATCTTGATGAGTGTACTGCCGCTTGATCTCGAGCCGAGCACTCGCACCCAGAGAGGCATTTTGAAGGCTCTTCGCAGTGTCGGAGAGGCCCTTCTTACTGCGCCCAGCGAAGACCCGAGCCCGGGGAGGCGCTCGGGCCTTGCCCTGCATCGCAGCCTCCTGCTGCTTCAGGTCCTCTAACTTCTGGCTGTAGTCATCCCGGAGGGTGGAAAAGTAGCCCACCATCTGCTCCAGCACCTGCGTCCGAGCTTCCAGTGTGCCAACTTCCGGCGGAGCACTTTCAACAGCAGCCTCTTCGGTAAAGGACTGGCGGATCTGGAGATCCTGCTGCACCTGCCCCAGGGCAGCAGCCAGCTTCCTGGTGCCCAGCAAGCCCCTAATCTGGCTGATCTCCTGCTCAAACTCGGCCCGGTCTATCCGGTGGTCCTGGTTCTCATCGACTCTAGCACCCCAACATCCCACACCTAAGACTAAACCCTGACCCCACCACTCCGAAGCTAAAGCCCCCAAGTCCTGGTTCTCATCGATCCGACTGAAGGCCTCCTCGGGATCGGCAGAGAAGTCCTCGGAGAGCTGGGCCAAGAACTTCGCCGTGCTCTTGAACTCCCGAATACCGATGGTGTCCTTCCAGGAGCCATCTTATAGCGTCTATACGTGTGTGCATATCTATCTACCTACCTTAGCTGGCTTTCTATCCATCTATCTGACTGTCTGCCTGGCTGTCTGTCTGTCTTTCCGTCCGTCCTTCCGTCCGTCCGTGTATCTCTATATATGTGTGTGTATGTGTGTTTGTATATATATATATACATATATATATATATACATATATATATATATACACATGTATGCATCCATATGTGTGTGTGTGTGTGCCTACATTCCTTCCTACCCCCTTACCTACCTGCCTGCCTGCCTGTCTACCTGCCTGCCTACCCACCCGCTTACCTACCGACATGCATGCATGCATGCATGCATACATACAAACGTACATGCCCGTGCATACACATGTTTATGTGCGTGCATGTGTATGTATGTATGTATGTATGTATGTATGTATGTATGTACAAACATACATACATACATACATACATACATACATACATACGTGTGTGTCTGTGTGAAATACGAGGGTGTACCAAGGCTGTAC